AAGCCACATGCTACACGGCGTCGAGTGCGAGGGTGATCGACTACTTCTGTGTAAGGCAGGGAGTACGGGGATGTCGGGCACGCGCCTACGAGGGGCTGTCAGCGGCGCCCCACAAGGGAGTCATCTTCGACCTGGACATGCAGCAGATCCCGCTCAGGGTGCAGAACGCCCACATGGCCAAATCTTTCCCGTCAGGCCAGTTGATCGGACCTCAGCTCCCCGCCCCATGCTGGCAGGACGTCCAGGTGGCAGCGGAGGCGGCCACGTCGAAGCAGGATCTGAACGCCTCCGTCAGCATGTGGCTTGGGGGGTACGAGGGCGAGCTCATCCAGCACTTCGGACTGGACCGGCCTTAGCGACGCCGTGGGCGTGCTTATGGCGTGCGGATCGTCGGCTCCGCCCTCCTCATGCACTGCCGCAGTCAGGCGAAGGGTCGGGGGGCTTCGGGTCCCTGCGAGAGCCGCTGGCAGCGGCTTGCTAAGCGCTTGCGGGAGTGGAGATGGCGACGAGATGTGGTCAGCAGGAGCTACTCGACCTCTGGGCGACATCGGCTTCGTGGCCTTCATCTCCGCCCCATTAAGTTCACGTTGCCACAGAAGACGCGGTGGCCCGTGATGTGGGAAGCATGGAGGTCGCTGGTTCGGCCACTGGGTCAGCTCAGCGACGAGGACCTGGACTTCCTGGCGCGCGACCTCGGGACTTGTGCTGATCGTGCTGCCAGCCAGGCCTCCTGTCGCAGGTGCAAGGCCTGGGTCGACAGGTCCCGCGACTCAGCGTCGGATGGTGGGCTGCGACGGGCTTTCGGGTGGATCAAGTTGGGCGCGCCGCGGGCTTGCGCCAGCTCTGCAGCTGGACCTGGCGCAGTCAAGTCTCTCGTGGAGGAGGCTAGAGATGCTGCGAAGCTTCTCATGAGCTCTGGGACCAAGGCGAAGGAATCGAAACAGTCAAGTGGCCCAGCGACCTCGGCCAAGTCGAGGCCCCCTCCATCGACGACGTTAGGCAGGTTGCCCACGCCTCCTGCTCCGGAACGGGCCTCGGCTGCGACGTGGCCAACCCGAGGCGCATGATATTCTTGGGCGACGACGCCCTCGAGGCCCTCCGCGCGCCGTGGAGCGCCATGCTGCAGATCGGGTTCGTGCCCGACGCGATTCGGGTCACGCAGGAGGCGCTCCATCCCAAACCCTACGGCGGCAGGCGCACCATCGGCATCTTCGCTGGTGCGATCCGCCCTCTGACCAAGTGGCTTCGGTGACGGGGTCGCGGTGGGCAGGCCAGAGCAAGCGTGGCTGCATCTTCGGGGCGGAGGGCCAGAGCTGCAAGGCGCGCGCGCGCGGAGGCAGGCTGCCGCAGTGGAGTGGGCCGCGATCAACAAGGAGACGCGCCTGTCCGTCCTGCTGGGCTTGTCCATGGCTTGCGAGTACATCCGCTGGCACGAGCTCCGGGGGCGAGCGAAGGGCCTCGGCATCAGCGTATGCTTGAGGAGGTTCCTGATCATGCTGCGCTCGATGCCGCGGCTGCTCTCCTACGCAGGGGTGGTGATCGATCTACTGACGCCCGGGCGCGGCGTTGTGGCAGGCTGCTCTTCTACCGACCTCATGATTCGCAGCTTCCTCATTCCCATCCTGGACGGCGTGGCGATGATGCCAGGCATCTTGGTCGGCAACGGGGTCGACGACATCCAGACGCAGGCGTCAGGGGCGCGGGTGGCGGTCGCGCAGCATATTGGCGCAGCGTACCGCAGAGTCAGGAGCGAGCTGCAGGGAGCGCGGCTGTTGGGGAGCGTGGCTGTTTGGTGAACGAGAGGAAATGGACGCTCGCGGGCAGCGATTTTGAGACTGCCAAGCGGCTCGGCCACATATTCCCGTTCGCTCGTGCAGGCGCGGGGCCGCTCGACGAGGGGCCTGGGCTGCGACTGCACCTGCGGCAAGCGCGTCAGCATGTGGGCGCGGCTGGGGCGCCTGGGCAAGGTGCAGAGGCGGCGCGTTACAGTCAGAATGTTGCGCATGGCGAGGGGCAAGCGCAAGCAGCTGGTCAGCCTGGGGCCCGTTCTGGTTGGCACCTGGGGAGATGGGGTCGCTGGGGGATCTCGGAGTGGAGTGATGGCCCTGCGCAGGGTCGTCAGGGCCTCCCTCGTCCCCCGCGAGGCCAGACGCTCGCTCGCCATCGATGCTGCGCTTGTCCCTGGAGACGCCGCCAGCGTTGATCCCGCCTGCCCGTTCGCGATAAACCCCATCGCGATGCTGGCCCAGGCCTTCTCGGGAGTCTTGGCTGTCCAGGGAACCCCTCGGAATCATTGTTTTCGCCCCCAACAAGGCCCTCCGCGGGGCGGAGTGCCCGCGGGGCCGCGCGACGGGCCCAGTGTCGGCCGCGCTAGCGCCCAGTTCTAGGATCGGTTGGACCCTCGGGACAGGCGCTGGACAAATTTGAACGGCTGAGGTGGGTGCCATAGGTCTGCGCCGCGATTGCCCCGCAATGTATAGATGATCGCCCAATCGAGTGTCGAGGCGCGGCTGCTCGGCAAGGCCCGCTGTGAAGAGGGCTACCTGAATTGGCTGCCCCGCGCCCCCGTGCTCCCCCGAAAACCCTCCTCTCCCAGAAGCCTAGGGAATATTGGTCAGGTGTGCACCAGGCCGCGCTCAGGTGTGTGGCTGCTAACGGCTTTGAGGGAGATGAGAGGCTGCGCAGTGTAGGCTTTCGCGATACCTCAGCTTGCTCCACGTGCGGGGAGGGCCCTGGGGCGGTGGGTCGCTGGCGTTGGGGAGGTTGCGCGTGCGCGCGGGCCTATCGGCGCGACTGTCTTGTTCCGCGTTCGCTCCTGGAGGGGGCGAAGAACCGCCCCGACTGGCTGCTTTGGTGCCGCGCTCTGGCGGCCGACCCCCGTGCCTGGCATGTTCGACCCACGCTGGATTTGCTCGTGCGCTGGCTGGTCAAACCTGCTTCGGGCGGGTTCGAGGGGCGGCGTTTCGGGGGTGGTTCGCGTCGCGCGCTGAGAGCCGGCGACCCCGGGCTGCGCCGAGCAGGCCAGGGGGCGCCCCGAGTAAGTTCGAGCGGGCTCGACGTGATCGCTTCGCTGTGCAGCCCCCATCCTAGGTTTAACTCAAAGCTCCGAAATGGCCGAATGTCACGCGTTCAAGATGTATATTGATAGTGTCGGTCTCGGCCCGTATGAGTATCTTTCAGATTGTGAATGGCTCGTCTCGAGCTTCCGCGAGGGCCGCGCCGAGACAGATGGCGAGTCAGCGCCCCGCTGCCAGTGACCGCGCCGCCAAGGGAGGCAAACTGAAGGCCCCCCGCTGCGCTCACCATGGCAATGGCTGGTTCATGGCACGTGCCCCATCTGGGCGCGTGGTGAGCGTAGTGGGGCAGCGGGGTCCCGAGGACAACGCTGTGGTGCGGGAGAGCTTTATGAAGGTGCTCGGCCACTACCCCGCCGTGGACTGCTCCGTGTACGACAGGGCCTGCTCCTCCATGCCGTCCGCGAAGTCCATGCCAGAGTTCGCCCAGCTGAAGTACTGCGTCGTCGAGAAATGGCGCGCCCACAGCCACTTCGACGAGTGCCTTTGCAATCCGCACGTGGTGCGGCGCCTCGGCAGGAGGGTCAAGGACGTGCGCGCGCTTGCCTGCGAGCAGGTGTACTCCTGGTTCAGAGTGTGCGCTTGCGTGTTCAACGAAGTCTCCCCGATCCGTCACCGCTTCCTGGTGCTGTACTTCGGAAGGAAACACAACCGCCACCATGCGCAGAGCAACGCCGACTACTTGCCCGACGCAGCGGCCGCGCGGGCAATGGGTATAGGCGGTGTGGGCACTATGCTTGCGCGTAAGCGCTTGGGGATTAGCCTCGCGTGGTTGCACCCCCGCGAGCCTTGCGAAGTGGTTGGGGCCATTTCGTATTTTTCTCCGTTCGCAGCTCCACTGGACCTCCGTCGCGCAATGCATCACATCGCAGGCCCAGCCGGTTGCGTGGACGGTGTTGGTGGACCATCGCAGGCACATCCACCATCGGTTAAAAAACAAACAAGCCTTCGAGGCAGGGTGGAATAGGCGAGTGCGTGCGCGTGTGTGTGTGTGTGTGTGTGTATGTGTGTGTGTGTGTGCGTGCGTGCGTGCGTGCGTGTGTGTGTGTGTGTGTGTGCGTGTGTGCGCGTGTGCGTGTGAGGGTGTGTGTGTGTATGTGTGTGTGTGTATGTGTGTGTGTGCGTGCGTGTGTGCGCGTGTGTGTGTGTGTGTGTGTGTGTGTGTGTGTGTGTGTGTGTGTGTGTGCGTGCGTGCGTGCGTGCGTGCGTGCGTGCGTGCGTGCGTGCGTGCGTGTATGTTAGGGGGCAGAACAAAAACATCAGGTTAAACATTTCATCTTGATTTTTTGGTGCCCCCCACGCAAAACAAACATAATGTTCAACCATCCAATTTTTTTTGCCCCCCATCACCCCCCAACCCTCCCACCTCGCACCCGCGCGCCCCGCCCACCAATCAACAGCCGCCGCCGCCACGCACGCGAGGCGCAAATGCAAAAATGTGCGCGGCGTCGAGGCGAAAATGCCGTTTTTGAAACAAATGCGCGCGGCGTGGAGGCGAGAGTGAGACTTTTTTGACACATAGGGCTCTCATACCGCCACTTGACAATCCCCCGTTCTCTGGGAGGTGCCCGTGTCCCCATGATCGCGCCTCCGCACGATGCCGCTGGCTGCCTGTCTCTCTGACTGCACCCCCTGGCCCCGCCAACACAAAACTCTGCCTCGTCCTCCTCCTTTTCCAATTCTTGCTCCTCCTCCTCTTCCTTCTCCCGCCGCCACCCCCCTCCCCATCGTCCCCCTCTGTTATCTCCTCCCTCCTGCCCCCCCGCCCTCCGCTACTCCACCCCGCTCCCCCTTCCTTCCCTCCCATTTCCCTTCGCAATGGGAGCGCCGCGTTTCGTTTCAGGCGACCCCTCGAGGGCCAGACGGGGCAGCGGGGATCCACGTCGCGGGTCGGGCGGTGCTCCCGCCCACGCGGCCGGGCAGGAGTGACGAGGACGATAAACGTGACCAGTTCAAGAAGATGGTCGATGAGAAACTCAAGGCTCGATGGGGTTTAGAGCCGATAGGCGTTCGCGTTCCGGCGAGCGGGCAGCGACGGAGTTGGGGTGCGACATCCGGTCGGTGCTGTCCATTGGCTTATATGCCACCCCTCCCTTTTCCCCCCCCCGGCCTCCCGCTTCCGCCCCCCCACCCCCCGCCCCTCTGTTTCTTCTCCCGTTCCTCCTTCCTCTCCCCCCCCTCTCCGTTCCTCCTCCTTTTCTGTCTTCCGTCTTCCCCCCTCATTCCTTCCCCCTTCTTCTCTTTCTTTTTCTCCTTTTCCTGTTGTTCCCCCTCCTTCTCCTCCCTTTCCTCTCTCTTTCATCCCTTCTCTTTCTCGCTCTCCCTCTCCCTGTCACTCTGTCTCTGTCTCTTTCTGTCCTACTCTTAGTATCAGTGTCTCCCTCTCCCATTTCTTTTTTGTTCTCTCTCTCTCAGCTCTCTCTCTCTTTCTCTATATATGTATTGTTGTTTTCATTGTGGTCTCTCTCTCTCTCTCTCTCTTTCTCTGTCTTCTCCGAAGGCCTCGTCTCCTCCCTCACCCTTGTGGCCCCGAGGTGGAGGAGGTGGAGGAGCCAAGAGGCGAATCTTCGGTGCCACGAGGGCGTTGCCCCCGATGTGCCGCCAGCCAGCTTTTTGAGACACTCCTGCCCCGGAAATGCTCTTGCTCTTTTCGGGCGTGTGCCCCGGGGCGGCAGGCAGATACCGAGGTTCAGGAGGGAAAGAAACACACAGACACAATGGATCGTCGGTTCCCAAGGAAGTATGGGACAATTATGGGCAGTGGGGGGGAAGACGAAAACCCAGGAAATATGGGAAAGTATGGGGAATCTTTCTATTTGTGTGTATCATTAATGTGTCCCTGGGCCCCTTCAGAGGTGTAGGAGGAGGACCAGAGTAAATCCAAGAAGACCAGGGTAGGTGCAGGACCAGACGTCTCGCGCGAGAGCCTTATTGTGGCAAGGAGCAGCCATCCATTATCGCAGCCGCTATACGGGGTCGAATCCCTGGTGTCCGGTTGAGGAAGGCTCAAGCGCAAGCCCATTTGAAAATGGAACCTTCATCCATCCCTTTAACTTGGTGCGCGTTGTTAAGACACATGTGCACGGCGTGTAGGCGAGAGCTCAATTAAGAACACTACCCCGTCCATCTTTGTGATTGTTGCAAGCCTTCAAGACGAATGTGTGCGGTGCTCAGTCGAGAGCCACATCTTGAAAGCCACTTGGTCTATCGATGTAACAGTTGCGAATGTCATGCTTCACAGCCTGTCATGGCGAGGAAGTCTCAGGCGAAACGCCCAGCCTGCCCTACCGACGCGTCTGGGGGCGCGACAGGGAGGAGCTAGCTTGAAGGGAGGAGGATGGTACAGGAAGAGGGCGTCACGCAGGCCGTCCAAGGACCGGTTCAGCCCGGTGGGAACGCCATCATCAGCGATGCCATCGTAGACAGATCTCGGACAGGCTCGGGCGAGGGCAGCGCCCGTCAGTAGAATCTGGAGCCCTCATTGTTTTGAGGGGCTGCTGGCGGCGGAAGGGCCAACAGTTCCTCCTCCTCCTCCTTCTCCTCCTCCTCCTCTTCCTCCTACTGTTCTTCTTCCTCCTCCTCCTCCTTCTCCTCCTCCTTCTCCTCCCCCTCTGGGCTTACATGACGCGCGGAATCTGCCCGCTCGGCCCCCAAGGGCCAAATCATACCCCAGAGGGCGAAGCCATATCACGATTCAGCTTCGTGGAGGTATAGCAGTTGCGCTCGCCGATGCTGCCATGTGAATTGTCAGAGGGGAGGCGCCAGAGGAAACGGAAGAGGACGAGGAGGCGGGGAAGTGGGGACGGCGGACGAGGACGAGGACGAGGACGAGGAGTGCGATGGGGAGCAAGAGGAGGAGGAGGAGGAGGAGGAGGAGGAGGAGGAGGAGGAGGAGGAGGAGGAGGAGGAGGAGGAGGAGGAGGAGGAATAGAGGGAGTCAGAAGGAAGGAGGGACAACCGATGCGCCCCCTGGAAGCCTCGGGTGGCCAACAGGGGATCCTGTTCGAAAAGGGGCAGGGGGTCTATCCGCTAACATGGGAGCCGTTGCTTTCGCGAGGAGCGTGGGAAACCCCGCCTGAGGGGACACCCAGCCGCGGACGAACCGCACTCGTGGGGCCCCGAAGGCAGCTCCCCCTAGAGGCCCTACCCCCTGCCGCGGACCGCCTACGAGGGCCCCCGGCAGGCATATGTGGAAGGCGCCTCGCAGCTGCCCGAGCGCGTCGGCGAGCATGCTCAGCTGCTCCAGCCCCCTAGGTGTTGAGGTGATCCGGTGCGTGCCGTGCAGAGCGTGCCCCGCTTGGATCTGCGCGCGGAGCTTCGCCAGCGTCGCAGGCGGTGTGGCCCCCAGCAGGGAGCGGGACAGCCGAGCCGCGGGCGGCGCCGCAGCGGCCACAGCCGCCGCGCCGTGGGGGCGCCGTGGGCCGCGCACTGTCTGTGGCGGCCCCCCGCGGCCCGCGCGCCTCGGAGGCAGCGCGTCGGCGCCACTCGCCGCCGAGCTCCCCGCCGTCGCCGAGCGGCGTCGCGGCCTCGGCCTGCTCCCGCAGGGCGCGGGGGCGCCGAGCTCGGAGCCGCAGCCGCCTGGGCCGGGGGCCGGCCCCGGGCGGCGCGGCAGCCGCGCGCGGGAGCAGGCGGCTCCCGCGACGCCGCGGCCGCGCGGGCAGCGCCGCCATCGAGGGGCAGCGCATAGAGGAACGAAGAGTGGCATAAACATAAAAACTCGGAGGTCCGCGCGGATTTCTCGGATCCCCCTCCCTGGCGCGTGGCGCGCGGAGCGCGCCGGGGCCTGCGCCGGAGGCGCCGCCAGGGGAGTCCGGCGCGGATCCGAGAAATCCGCGCGGACATCCGAGTTTTTATGTTTATGTCAGTGTTCGTTCCCCTGGCGCAGGGCGCCGCCGCCGGCAGGGGCGGGGCGATCGCGGGGGGCGCGGTCCGCACGGCGGCCGCCGTGCGGAGCAGCCCGTGCAGAAGTTCGCAGCAGCCGCGCGCGCCCTCCGAGGCGTGCGCGGCCGTCGGCCCTCGGAGGCGGCGTGCGGGGCGAGGAGCGCGAGGAGCGGGCCGCCTCCGAGGCTCCGCGGCGGCCGGCAGTCGCCTGGGGCATCGGCGCGCTGCGGTCGCACGCCCAGGCTTATGATGTTCCAGCCTACTTTAGCCTTGACCACCAGAAAGAATTTCGAGCACAAAAAAAGTACCGAAACTCGAGGGTTTTCACGTGCGCTTAATGCGCCGATGGTTGCCTGCGCCAGATGCGGCCACTGAGCGGCCCAAGTTTTTAGGCCCCTGAATGGCCTGTCGATCGCACACTGGCTGCGCGGGGGCGTGCCACCCCAGACCAGCAATGACACGCTGAATGCGACTGCTGGCAATCTCACCGAGAACGGCCACTGAGCGGCCCAGACTGTCATGAACCCTGAGTGGCCAGTCAGCCGCGCACTGGCAGCGCGGGGACGTGAGACCCCAGCCAGCATGAAGGAATTGAACGTGACTGCTGGCTGCTTGCGCCGAGACGGCCGCTGAGCGGCCACGAGCAGGTCATATGACGACGTTGGGCAGGTGCAGATCTCCGAATTTCCGAAAGGCTTCGCCCTCCTCCAATTCGTGCCAATCTGCCTTTCCCTCAACTGTCTGATGCTATCTCAATCCCCCAGCATCGAGGGGGCAACGTGAAATCTCAGACCTCAAAGGGGACGGGGCCGGTAGAACTTACACCCCTCGAAGCGCCCCCTCGAGGCTATCATTCTCTTATACCCGCACGTAAATTTCCATCGACGCCCAGAATCGTGCCCCCGACGCAAAGAGACCTCATCCTGCGCGACTGGACGCGAAGAAAGGGCCCCGAGCTAACGCTTGCCAGGGACACGGGGCTGCCCCGGCGAGAAACGCGCCGATGGAGGGAGGTGCATTTTCAAGGCGGGGCTGTCTTCTCCCTGAGGCGTCGGAACTTCTTTGGCTCTGACTCGGGCGGCAGTGGCGGCCGCGCGTTCGCAGCGCACGCTCTGCGGGCGCTATCTTGAAACGCAGACAAGAGACGAGCCTGCATTACATGAGTGCTCGTGTTGGCATATGTGTCTGCCATAGTGCTAGCAGACTTCCAACCGCCCAGCGCCTGCACGAAGGAAACCGGCAATTGGGCGCTGTGGGTGTACCATTCAGCCCCACCCCTACGGAAGGACTGGGTGCTTCTCGAAGCATCCCGGAAGAATGACGCCACAGCTTTGTGCCACGCGTCCGGGGAAACTGACTTAACGGGTGTCCCTGTTGTGCAGAAACAAGCTACTGACTCAGTGCAGATGTTCGAACGCACGGCGAGCCATTCGCGGAACATGCTAGCTGGGTTCAAGCCATTCACGTTGCAATCTGGCAACCAGCACCACTGCCCCGCGCCGAAAGGGTAGTTCTTTTGCCCCTTGATGTAGCAAGATACGCAGCCGCGTTCCACTCGCACAACAGACAGACATAAAGAAATTGCCTCCGAGACGCGCCGGGTCCCGAAGAACGTGAAGACAGCAATGGCTGCGTCACGAGTGCCGGCAGGAGTGCTTTGCTCCTGGCGGCTAACTACAAACGCCGATAGCTCTGTCAAGGAGATGGCTCTTTTCTGGTGGGAAGTGTGGTCAGCTCGCTTAAGTGAGCCCCTTCCAAAACTGGAGAGTCTTGTCATCCCAGCAGTTGTCGAAACTGCTGCTGACATAGCGACTGGAGTGCCATGCCTTGACCGCGCTCTTGTTGTTCTGTATTCTGTGCCAGCTCATTCCGTCCAGCGTAGCGAACAACAGCATGAACTTCTCAGGGCTGTCCACCGGCAGCAACTTGCTGTCTACGAGCTGCTCTGTGCCGTGGACGTGCAATCGTAGCGATTTTGCGTGCGCTTGCCCAGTGGACTCTTCCCAACCTTGCTCTAGTATTGCGTGGGGTAGTTTTGACAAGTGGGC